ACAGAATTTTTAGAGGCCAGCACCCCATTTGAAAGGGGTTTGGGCTGAAGAATGGGTTAAGAGGATAGGCATCTATAGCAGTATTATTTTTATTTCATCGTTATTAAATTTTTATTGTTAGTTCTGGAAAGAATGCTTCGCCAACGATTTTACAGTTTGCATAGAAGACGCAACCAACACTGTAGAAGTAGAAATTTGGCTTAAGAAATCAGAGGAGAGAAAGTCTGTGAGAAATGGAAATGGAATTGATGCACTGCTTTAAGAAAACACATCTTTTTCTTGTTTCCTTGTGGGGTTCAGAGGCGCTGTTCTTATCTTTGCCAAGCTGGCTGGCATTGCCTACAACAGACTACGGTTGGTCTTGGTTGAGTCTCTCTGAACCCCTTCCACACTTCTGGGGGCTGTAAACATTGGGGCTGAGACATTCCCCTGTGCATTGTGTGAAACCTACCCCACCCCACCCTACCCCACCCCACCCTGCCCTATCTCAGTCAGGTTTACAGTCTGCATACTACCCTTGCTTGCACTTAACCTGGAAATTGAACATGCATTAGCAGAAGAAAACAGTTTTAAGTAACACTTAAGTAGCTCTCCAGGAAGCATCCGGCATGGAAAATGACTAGAAAGGAGGGTTTGTGGCTAGACATTGTTTTCCTCCCTTGCTAGAACTATTTTTTGAATTTATAATGGAATATTCCATGAGTATATTAGGATATTAAGGGTTCCATTGCAACTAAATTTTGGCCATCAAGGTAGAGCAGCGATTTTCAACCAGTGTGCTGCAAGAAGTTATAAAACATGTGATAACCTATTTAGTCAGGGACACTGACCCCGTCTCCCTTAGATTGGCAAATAAATAAATAAGTGACAACAGCCAACACAACAATAACCATCCAGTGTGAATGGATCAAAATTATATCTATTTTTGTCATATCTGCAAAAACTTGAATAGATTTTCAGGTGTGCCCCAGACTTTCGGTAGTTAGTTTATGTGTGCCATGAGATGAAAAAGGCTGAAAATCGCCGAGGTAGAGAATCAGTTGGTAAGTCATCTGGCATTTTTGCTTTGTTTTCTTTGTTCTTCGGCCAGCCTTTCGCTGATTTTTCTGGGTATTAACTTTTCCACTGGAGGGGAGAGGCCAGGGAAGAAACCATCCATTTCCTCCTTGCAGTGGGAATAAGAGGATGTAAAAATCAGGATTAGCATGAATTTTGAGATTATTTTTGGCTCTAAACGTATGTTGGAAATAAAACGAAGAGGAAAGTATCCCAGTTATTGCTTTCCATGTGCGGTCCTGGTAGGAACCATTTACCTAAGTGTCTATAATGCATAGTAAAGTAACAGAGAGGCAGGGAATGGCTGGCCAATGGAAGAAACAATACCTCCCCAAGTGAGAGTTATGAGGGTTAAAATTAAACTGTGACGAGTGCTTGGCACAGAACCGGGTGCACAGAAAATGTGCCTGACCACATGCTGCCCACAGCACTATGGCCATGGACGCCCTCATTCTTTTTGGAGCCAGTCATCCCACTGAACTCTCACTGGGCCGCACAAATAGAGGCATGGCAACACTACGGGTGTTTTTCTTTCTTAATCGTCACCCGAGGGTACTTTTTTCCATTGATTCTTAGAGAGAGTGGAAGGGAGGAGGAGAAACAGTGAGAGAAACATTGATATGAGAGACACATTGATCGGTTACCTCCCACATGTGCCCCTACTGGGGTGGGGAACCTGCAACCCAGGTATGTGCCCTTGACCAGGAATTGAACCTAAGATCCTTCCATCTTTGGGTCAACTCTCTAACCACTGTGTAAAACTAGCTAGGTCTACTACAGGCTTTTGGCTCAACACAGGTCTTCTGACTTTCCTTCTACTGATACTCCTTGCAGGCCACGGGTTGTTTCTCTGAGATTCTATAAGTGTGGTCGCTGTAAGAGATGGCAACACAGTCAATTTCTATGAACACATGACCTTATTTTACTATTAACATTCATCTTATAAAGATAAATGTATACTCAGAAGAAATAAAGGTTATCAAGAAAATGGAGTTATTTATTAAGTTATGGGAGGGACTGCAGTTGCATCTTAGTAAGGCTTGCCGGGTGACCTTGGCTTTTTTCAGAGTCCTGCCATGTTGCCCTAGCCCTCCATGATGTCCAACCTGCTGGCCTCGCATCCTCTTTACCCAAGATCTATCCGTTTTGTCACAAACCAAATATGTCCTGACTCTATCCTCAAATCTCCTGTGGCACATTCTTGTCCTGTTTATTAGGGGTATTTGTCATTGGCAGTAGATTCCAATTATTAGTATTTGAGTTCATTATATACAGCAATACTCAGAACTTCAGCCGTAAGAAGTACTTAAGATTGAGGCTTTATGTTAACTAACGTAAAATGTGTTGAATGCAAGGTTTGGAAGCACAGTCAGCACAAGCATGCCTGATTTCACAGAGGTCTTCCCAGTGCACATGGCTTCAATTCATACATGAAATCCAAACAAAACGCACAAATGTTCACTCCTTGGCAACAGAAGGCGAGCACTGGGCCAGTTCACATCTGCTGACCCTTTCTGGTATGTTTTCCAGTCTGCATTAGCACACCTTCCCGTGTGTCTCCTGCCCAGCTCCCATCCTGTCTTTTGGTGTCCACATTGAAATATGAATATAAATATTTAAAATCCATATTTCCTTGCATTTTCTATGCCTTCCACCACCCCCTCCCCCGAGTAGTGGTCTAAGGCATGCATTCTGAGAAAGCAGTATGTTAAAATGGGCAAGTTAAGCAGGTCCTTCCAACCGAATGAGCACTAGCAATCCCGGTAGTGAAAGTTTATGGGTCATTCTTATGTAGTGCAGCTGACAGTGTAGTCAACAGAAGGTTAAAAGACTGGACTCTTTGGGTAAAAATAACAATGGAGCAGAAAATCAGGAGACTTCAGAGGGCAAGCTTCTTTGCATGCTGACGTAAAAGATAATGCTTCAGAGTTCACCTCATTTTACCTCAACCTCGGACTCTTTGCTGAGACATGTGATGAAAAGGGAGGCCTTTTATCCAAGGAGAGAATGTAATGACACCTCAGTTAGTCAGGAAAATGGAAAGGATGATCTATCCACTGAGAATTAAAGGGAAAAGTTATTTTTTCCTACTTCAACTTATGTTAAATATATTTTTGAACTTTTTACTTTATTTTTCCCGTCAACATTTACCCCCCTTACACCATCTTCCACTCCCCCCTCACCTTCCTCTCAATGCCACCACAATCACCATGCTTTATATTTTTATATATGTTTTTATTGAATTTTTTAGAGAGAGAGGAAGGGAGAGAGAAAAAACACATCCATCAACTGCCTCCCTCAGGGATCAAGCCCAAAACCCGGGCATGGGCCTTGACCTGGAATCGAACTAAGGACCTCTTGGTGCACAGAGGAAACTCGCCCAACGGAACCACACAGGAGGCCAGGGCATCGCCACACTTTAAAACTGCATTTCACTTTTCATTTTGGTTGTGGGGGAGGCATGCTTAATGCTTGTCCGTTAGAATGTTATCAAGTGGTGTATGGATAAGAAGTGTAGTGTTCAAAGAATTTGGAAAATATTTGGCAACTCACAGATCAATTGTATCTTCATATCTCTAACACATTTTTATTCTGCTGTCATTTTTATGCTGTGTGATTTCCTCAGGACCAAAAAGTGATTAGAGTAACTGCAGAGGGTGTGTGTGTGTGTGTATGTGTGTGTGTGTGTGCGTGCGTGTGTGTGTTGCTTTTGATACAATTGAGCCCATCTTTTTATTTTTTAAAGCAAATAAAGTTTTTCAGGAGCTCCCAACTAAACTCCTTTCTTCCATCTCACTGGTTTGAATTAGATACCATGCCTGTTCCTAAATTAGCCCTTGGGGAGGAAATCGGATTGGCTTGAACAAACAGAATTGACTCAGTGAGGCTCAAGAGAAGTCCAGAACCGCTCACCCCTTCAGTAGGCCACCAACATCTAGAGAATAGAGTTCTGTTAGGGGAGGAGGGGAGGTGGTAAATGAGTAACCAGAAACTCTCAGAAAGGGACAGACAGTTGTGTCTGCTACAGCAGGGGAAGTAACTTTAAACTTTTTTTTTTAATGAACTGGCCACTTCTGATTTTCTTGATATAAGGGTACATTTTTCTAGTCCTGGTAACCCCAAAGACAAATGTATCCTGTAAGTCTTAGAGCCTTTAATACGCTAAGGTACCTGGTGACTCTCCAAGAGAGGGATAAAGCCTGCAGTATTTCACAAATAATAAAATGGTTCATTATTTAAAACATTGCAATTATTTTTCAAGGCATTCTTTCTGGGATGAATGTCTTTATGAGTGCAGTTCAGAAACTGCTCTCCTGAATTATTAGTCTGAACCCATTTCATAGTATATATTTTATAGTGGTCATAATGCCTTCAAGATTGCCTCTTTTAAGTACTATAAATCATAAGAGAAATTTGTAAAGTAGCAGGTTTTAAAGGAATATTAGAAAATGAATGGCCCTATAAAATAAGTATAGTAAAATGTTAATATAAGAATCTGGATGGTGGATTCACTGGAAAATTCTTTCAAACTTTCACTATGTTTAAAATGTTTTGTGAGACTGAAAAATAGTAACCACAATAAAACAAACAAAAAAAAACTTTTATGTATATGACCAAAAAACCAGTGAGAATACACATAGCAATACATATATATATATATATTAGAGGCCTGGTGCACGAAATTTGTGCAAGGAGCTCAGCCCTTGCACCCCAGCTGCTTTGCAGCCCCACAGCCCCTCCCACTGGTCATTCTGGAACTGCTGCCCAGTCTAATTAGCATATTATCTATTTGTTATATAGGAGGTGTGTGTGTGTGTGTGTATATGTATATATATATACATATGTATGTGATATTTATATTAGCAAAAATAAATCTCATACATAGGCTAGTTTCACCAACACACTCAAACCTACATGAGAGTAACTTTAAAACACTATTGAAGGAGGCAAAGCAAACCTTGAGCAAATGGAAAGATACAGATAGAAAGACTCACCTTCATAAAGATATGTTTTAGCTAACTTTATGTATAAATACATCGTGAGCCCAGTTAATGTACCATTAGGTTTTTTCTTTCTCAAGCTAGATAAATGGGTGGTAAAGTTTATTTGAGTAAATAAATAAATAAAAACAACCAGGAAAATACGGGAAACATGAACAATTTTGGTGGATGAACACTTATAGTGAGAGAGAAGGTTAACCTATCAGTTATTAACATATATCATAGAACTTTTATAAGTGAAACTCTAATATTGGTACAATGAAACAAATTTTTAAAACCGTGAAAGAGACCCAATTTATGTGGACATTTCGTATATAATAAAGGCAGCACTTCAAATCGGTGAGAAAAGCTCAACTGTTATATGTTATAACTGAAGAGCTATGTGGAAAAAGATAAATTTTCATTTATTTTTCATACTGTACACCAGAATACATTTTAAGTGGATCAAATATATATATCTTTAAAAAAATTCTAGAAGAAAATATGGATCTTCTATACTCTGAGAGTGGGGACATTTCTTTCCAACCATGACTGAAAATCCGGAAGCAATAAGAATAAAAGAAACTGATAATTTTAAAAACAAAACAATTTTTACCTAATGTAATTTTATTTTAAAAAGAAATACCTAAAGTTAAAGAAAAATTGCAAACTTGGAAAAATAGTTGCAACTTAATCTCAATGAATTAATATGTTAAATTAATAAAAAGCCTTTAAAATTAGAGAAATGACCAACAACTTTTTACAACAATTGGCTATATTATAGACTGTTTACAGAAAAAGTAAACAGAAGAAGAAATACAATGGCTTTTTTAAAGGGTGATGTTCAACCTCCCCTAAAATAAGAAAAATAAAAGTACACTTGTAGCATTTTTTTCATATCTGATTAAAGACAATCCAAGTTTGACAATACACTTGGGTGGTGAGGTGGTAGGGAAATGAACACTCTCATCTTTTGTTTCTGGAAAAGCAACATGGTGCAAACCTGTTAAAGAGGAATCTGCCAATAATTAGCAAAAATACATACGAATTTACTCTTTAACAAAGCAGCCCCACTTCTCAGAATCTATCACCAAAATACCCAGACAAAAATTGAAAAGCACGTATTTGCACTAGGCTGTTCATTACATTACATTATTTAGACTGTTTGTTAGACATGATTGTTTTTCTTACAATGTTATCTGCATACCATGGGATAAAGTGAATGAATAATCATAATGGTATCATTAGGAATGAGGATTTTTCTCAGGAAAAGGGGAGGTAGAGGTGTACGAGTGCCAAGGTTAGGAAATACCCACTAGTCCTGGGTTTGAATTGGAAGTAGCAGTAGGAATTCATGAGGAATTTTATCTTAAAAAAGAAAATTCCTACTCTAGCCTTGGCCTGTGTGGCTCAGTTGGTTGGGTGTCATCCTGTGTACCATTTGCTGGTTCAATTCCTGGTCAGGGCACGTGTTTGGGTTGCAGGGCTCAATCCTTGGTAGAGGGCGTGCAGGAAGCAGCCAATTGATGTTGCACTCTCACACTGATGTTCCTCTCTTTTTCCCTCTCTCTTTCTCTCTCTAAAAATCAATAAAAACACGTTTAAAACAATCCTAGTCTAAACATGCTGAAAGGCCTAAATCAAGTAACTAGCAGTGAGCATCAATTGATTGTTACTTAAATGATATGCACATAAACCACAGAAGTGTCTGCCATATAATATAGTGATGTGTGCTCTGAAAAGGAAAGATGCAAATTCCAGTAAATTTGGGAAATTCTGCGTTTTCTTCTTGGAAATTATGCTTTTTTTTTTTTATATAAAAGTAAATGCTCCGAACAATTCTCTGGTAAAGAAGTCTACAACTATTTAACTGTCAGGAACCCTTCGCAGGAGAATAAGATGGGGTTGCAAAATTCCTGTTGTGTCTTTACTACACAAATGTGCTGTAGGAAACAATTTGGAGATTGGTGCTATGAAAGTGGAAGGCAATTTGTAGCTAATTATTTCTCATAGAGGGACAAGAGGTCTAAAGAGAGTTCCTGGTACCTTGAACTAAATGACTGTGTAATTTAATACAACTGTTGTTTAGAATCTGCTAGATACTAAATGCTTTGTTCAGTGTTGGGAATATAAGAAAAGAAATGAAATGTTAGAGCATTAAAATATAGTGCTATTATTAATGTTATAATAAAGATTTGAAATGTTTTGTAAAATCATTCATTATGATTGAGGGGCTCAGAGTTGGCTACCATTGAATTGTGCCATGGAGAGAAAATTAAATTATGATGGGCAAAAGCAATGGGGAAGGACATTTCTAGCAAAGTAAGGAGCATGAGCAAAGATTGTTTAACATTGGAGTTTATGATGTATTCAGGAAAAAAATAGCCATACTTGTCTGGAACAACAATAAAAAAAAAGTACCTGCCTGGAACAACAATAAAAAAGTGTACCTATTTGGCAATAAAAAATGTAGGGAAAGCCTGGGGTAGGCCAACATAGGGAGAAGGCTTTGGGGCCAGACAAGCCTGAATGATCATCATTGATCTGTCTGTAAATGACGATGGAAAGATGATTTAATCTCTAAGGCTCAGCTTTCCCATCTGGATAAAGAGGATAAATAATATTTATCTCACAAAGTGAGGCTAGAAATAATGTATGCAAAGCTTCCAACACAATGGGGTGGGGGACACAATGTCAGTTCTTACTGTTACTAGGCAGATGGGGATGGACATTCTCAGTTGTCAGTGGACAGGGCTTGGAGGCAACGGAGAACCATTGAAGCATTTGGAGCATGGGGATGAAGTGATGAGCTTTGTAGTGAGAAAGAGGACACAGAGGAATGAGTAGAGTAGATGGAGATACGTGGCCTTGCATCCAGATGGGAGATGAGGACCGCATAGGTAGGGCATTTTTAGTTTGGCCAAAACTGTTCAGTGAATCAGAGGTAGAACTGATAGAACTTGGCTATTCATTAGCTCCATATACATGTATGTGGTTAATGGGGAGTGAGAGTCAGGAAACAATGAAAAATGACACCAGATTTTTTAGCCTAAGTATCTGAGTTCCAAGTAATACCAACAATTGAGACAGTCAACACAGAAGGTGGATGGAGTAGATATAGAGAAGGTAGTGAGCTCCGTGTGGAATTTCATCTGTTTTCCCTTTCGGCCTCTCACCTTTCTAGAGTAAGTGAGCTTTAAAGATTTGAATATGGCAGCCCAGCTCCTAATCCCAGTGATCCCTCGATTCTATGGGACCACCACATTTTGAATAGTGTAGTGGCTGCTTCTAAAGTGCATGTAATAATGATTGGAAAGATTAGTGTGATGTGCTCCAAAGTCAACTACTAAAAACTACCTAATAATGTAGTCACATGTGGCTGTGTGGCTTGCACTGTCCTGGTCCTCAAAACATTGTTTGCTTTAAGCGTAGTTGAAAGTAAAGACAAATGTAGACATTCTACTCAACGCCAATCTTTGTGTGCTTCTTGTTTTAATGTGCAGGACAGGAGAGAATTGGAAAAGATTCCAACTATGAGCAGGAGGGGAAAGTTCAGTTCGTGATTGACGCAGTCTACGCGATGGCTCATGCCCTGCATCACATGAACAAGGATCTTTGTGCTGACTACCGGGGCGTCTGTCCGGAGATGGAGCAAGCTGGGGGCAAGAAGTTGCTGAAGTACATCCGCAATGTTAATTTCAATGGTGAGTCTCCAAGCACCTGTGGTTTTGAGGAATCCTGTGTTGGCATTCTGCTTTATAAGTTACACGTTGAATGGTTATTTACTCTTGAGTATGTGTCAAAACATGGTTGATTATCCGATTTTAAAGATTGAGTCAATATATGAATGAGTGAGTAGTGAGAGAGTAGTGAGTGAACGAGTGAATAAATATTTGGGAGTATGGTTTGTCCTCCTTTCCTTAAAATAGGTTTTTATATGAAGTCAAATTCTTCCTCAGTGAATATAAATTCAGAACTGTGAAAAACGCATATTTATTAGTTATTGTACACTCTCTCTATACAGTTATTTTTGTCTCCAGTCTTACAGTATTTACTCAAATACTGTCTTCCTAAAATATTTGCATTCATTTTTTTTATTTCTTCACTCTCTTCAGTGTGGTTCTGTTTTTAATTTGCAATATAGTCAGGTTTATTCATGATAGTATTGAATTTTGTTAACCATGTGATAATTAATTTTTATGAGTCAACTTGACTGAGCAAAGTGATGCTCAGATAACTGGCAAAACAGTACCACTGGGTGCGTCTATGAGGGTGTTTCGGGAAGAGATTAGCATTTGACTTGGTGAACTGAGTAAAGGAGAGAGGGCTCTCCCCAAGGTGGGTGGGCTTCCTCCAACCCCCACCCCCCCACACCCCTCTGCCTAGGGCCTGAAGAGACTCAGAAGGCAGAAGAAGGGCAAATTCTATCTCCTCTGCTCCTGCCCTCAGACATGTGTGTTCCTACTTCTCAGGCTTTGAGACACAGAAGAGGCCTTCAGATACAACCTTAACATGGGGGAAGGTTACAACATCACTTTTGAGGTCTTATTGCCAAAAATACATGCCTTAATCTAATCATAAGGAAACATAGGACAAAATAACTGGCTAATACTCTTCCAAAGTATTCATGTCATGAGAAAGGCCGGTGGAGGAATTGTTCCAGACTGGAAGAGACTAAGGAGACATTACCATTAAATGCAGTGTGGGAAAATTAATTGATCCTCTACCGGAAAAAAGACACTAGTGAGACAATGGAGACATTTAAAATAAAATTTGCAGATGAGTTTTAAATAGTATTATATCAATATTAATTTACTGGCACAGGTAATTATATTAATGTTAAAGGAAACCTTCTTGCTTTTCTGCTTATAAACAACAATCTACTTAAACCCACAATATTATATCGATCTTCCAGGAGTTCTCTAGTATTTGGATGAAGAGGAACCACACCCTGTTTGGGGATCAACAGTTCTCTAGTTTAGATGGAGACAAAATGACTGTGTATAAAACCAGAAAGTAGTCTAACTATAAATGATATTCATTTTATAGTTTCTTCCTGATTTTATAGAATCTCCTAAAATATAGAATTAATTTCCCAGAGACAGACACATGTAAATTTCATTATTTATTAAACACTACATTCCGTTATCTGGGTCAGTCTCTGTATTCTGGTTCATAGATATGGATAACCGTTTTTACAATGATTATCCAGAATTATCGTTTTGAGACTGTTCTTGGTGACTCTTCCCTCATTCTTCTTCCAAATAGTGCTCTGTAGAATCATTTTGTCAAAACCGTCTTGTCCGTGGATGAGCCAGAGATGCTGAGCTTCGGATGAGACACAGGACCCATGTTTATGGAATGATTACTGTGTGCCAGAAAGTGTGCTACATACCTGTGTTGGCTTATTTAATATTTAGAACACCAGCACGGTGGAGGCACTATTATTTACCCTTTTTTAAGATAAGGAAACTTCACAGAGAATTAAGAATCATGATATTGAGAACCACACATCTGGGTAGTGATGAGGCTACACTGGTCCTTGGGCACCTAACTCTACAGGCTGTCCCCTGTAAATGTCTGAGAGGAAGGGCTGACTACTTCATTCCTGCTTCTTCATCTCAGAGTGGATGCTCTGTGGGAGGTGCCAGGCAGGATCAATTGTTTTTTCTCTCTTTGTCCTCATTGCAATCCTGCCCTGTGGTCCACATAATCGCCTGTTCTCTGAGGACTTTTTTCTGTCATAAGGACAAACAGGAGGCCGCTGGCTCCAAGGGCACTGTGACGTTTGTTGATGGAGGGGCTCGGCAGTTTTGTGAAACAGAACCTGTGCTGGATTTAATTAATGGATTCCATATCACTTAAAGTGAACAGCTATTAGTGAAAAGAAATTTGTCACTCATTTAATTTCTTGATTTTTATATAAAGAAATAAAATACTTGAGAGGAGGAAATATTTGTTCAAGACTTCACAGTTAGCAAATGACAAAGACAGATCTAGAAAGCAAGTCTCTTCCTAGTCTATTGTAAAAAATGTAGCCTTTCTTTTGCATGTTTTAGTAGGGTTTTGATTTTTTTGTCTCAACGAAGCCTAATTGTTCTCTTTTGTTACTTTAATACAAAACTTTCTGCACCCCTACGAGTTTTATTCCAGACCAATAGGGCACAGTTTAATAACTCTGACCCTCACATTCACCAAAGCATCAATTTAGGAAATGATAATAGAATGTCCTGAAAATATTGCTATAGTTTCACCAAGCACTTAACCTCTTCTTATGATGCACCAAGAGAAAAGATGACTACTTTTAAATTCATCACTTCTGGCCATGTTTTTCTCTGCATCCCAAATGAATGCAATGACCTGAGCCTAAATTTGATTTATGTAGTTATGTCTACGTTGGCCCATCTAACCAACTGTCAAGACCTGTAATGTAAATTTAATAAATTTGTTGTCTTGGATACAACATCTTAGAGAATTGCTATACAATGGCATATTTAATCTGGTATGTGTATGTACCTAGATTTACTAGTTTCCAGAAGATGAATTGGGTGTCAGTATATTTTGTAAAGATGACACATATCATGTGCTTTTTAAAAATCCTCACAGGAGGATATGTTTTCATTGACTTTTAGAGAGGGAGGAAGGGTGGGAGACAGGGAGAGAAACATCAGTTGACTGCTTCCTATATGCACCCCAGCTGGTGATGGAACCCACAGCCTAGGTGTGTGCCCTGAATCAGAATGAAACCTGCAACCTTAGGATGTTTGGGATGATGCCCCAACCCACCTGGCCAGGGCTCATGTGCTCTTTTTGAAACGTGAAGTTAGCCTTCCTTCATCAAGAGGTGAGCTCTATGCTCCCTCCCCTTGAATCTAAGAGCGTGTGACTGATGCAGAAGTGACACTATCTGACTTCTAAGGCATATGGGTGAATAGGCTTCTGCCTCATTCTCTCAGGACATTTGTATTGCGGACACAGCTACCATGTTGGGAGGAAGCCAAGATGCCAAATAGACAGGCCACATGTGGGTGTTCCTACCACAGCCCCAGCTAAGGTCCCAGCTGGCAGCTGGCAGCAACTGTGAGGCATGTGGGCTTCAAGCTGCCCAGCTGACATGAGGGGACCAGAGGTGCTGTCCCCAAGCTCTGCCCAAATTGCAAAATATGGGTTGTTATTATTTGGAGCACAAAGGTTTAGGGTAGTGTGCTGAGCAGCGATAGATGAGTGGAACACAAATCAGTGCCATGTTTCTGGAATCTGTACATGGGGTGCGAAAGTAAGAGCAGAAAACTTGTAAATACCTTGATGCAGAGGACTGTTTGGATACCTGAGCAATCGAGATCCTAGGTCCTTCTCTACCCAGGAAGAAAGGGCTTCATTCAGATACTCTGATCCAATAGAGATTTCAGACTTGAGTACATCCTGTCATCCAGCCTCCCACTATGCTATCTTGTCTAGTGGCCCTGTTTCCACTACCTCAGTGCACCTGCATCCCAGCCCTGTTACCTGGAGACATTTCTGCAGATGATCACTTCTTTTTGATAACTTCTTTCTCTTCTCTGGACTGCTGTGATCATAAATATATATACACACACACACACACACACATATATATACTAGTGGCCTGGTGCACAAAATTTGTGCACATTAAAAGGGAATTAATTAGATGAAATATTTTAATATTGCTATTTGCCCTTTCTCTATAATAGAAGTGTCAGAGATGAAAGAAAATTAGTAAAATGTATATGAAAATCTTCCTCCTGTCAGAGTCTGGGGTGTGCTGCACGACCCAGAGTCAAGTCCCCACTCACCAGCATGCACCTTGAAATTGTGCAAGACCCAGACCCGGCCAGCCCCACCCCCATCAAGCCCTGCAGAGCAGGGGGCGCAGCCTCAGGTCCCCCATCAAGCCCCACCAGGTGGGGGTGTGGCCCCAGGTCCCCCGGCCCTGGCATGAGGGCAGGAGGGCACAAGGGCACAAGCGTGCAAGGGCCTGATGACCATTTGCATATTACCTCTTTATTATATAGGATATGAAGGTGGGCAAAAGTAGGTTTACAGTTCCAAGTATGTGAAATAGTTTATTCTTGTATTATTATTTAGTAAGTATTGTAATTTTCAAAAAAATACTGCTTGGTTTTAAAGGGGGGGGGAGAAGGGAGAGATAGAAAGAGAGAGAGATAAATATCAATTTGTTTTCCACCTATCCATGCATTTCTTGGTTGCTTCTTGTATGTGCCCTGACCAGAGACTGAACCCTCAATCTTAGTGTATGGGGATGACCTATAACCAATGAAAAGCCTAGCCAGGGCTAATTATTGTATTATTTATTCGTATCATGTAACCTACTTTTGTCCATCCCTGTATAGACTTCATTGAACATAATCCCATTTTTTTCTCTTTTAAGAAACCCAGGGAAGCTGTTAAAAAGGTATTGTGGAAAAAATAAGTGGAAATAATAATCCATTAGCTTTACAGAATCCATCAGAAAGGTCAAAACCACATACGCTATTACAAGTCATCACTTAGATAAAGTGTTCGGCTCTTCTGTCTTAATTTTTTAAAGCATGAACTTTAATGAGAATGGAAAGGGCATGACAAGAGTAATTTTGCCTAACAAAGATTATAGGAAGAGAGAGCGATTAGATGGTGTGTCCCATTCTGGTGAATATTTAGCTGGTGGCCTGAGACCTTTCAGAGCCCCAGGCCTCCAATATTCTTCTCTCCTCTCAAAGACAATGAAAAGCTCATCATATTTCATAATGACTAGAAGCTACACAATTACAGCAGGTCCTAGTACCCAATGTGAAAGCAGAGAAAGGTGAGCAAGATATTACTATCTTCCTGCAAAATGATAGGGTTATTTTCTTGCTGATAATATATAAAATGCCGACTTTGTTTGTTCTTCTTATATACTTGGAAGGTTCACTGGAAGGAGAAAGCTAATATTAAAAACTTCTTTTTGTTCATCTTCTTCTGTCTGTACTGGAAAGGCTCCTGTATTTCATATAGAGAGAGAGCTTCAGAAATCCCATTGGGATACAGTGGGTGCCTTTATGGGCTCTGAGGGTAGTGTCTAGGTACAATGTAGATGAAACAAATAGGCCAAGCAGACTGAGCCACTGACTCAAGCTGGTGAGACAACACCTGCATAATTCATAGATAGTGCCCACTTTTTGGAAAACAAAAGATGTTACCCTGATGGAGAAATTGAAATTAAGTACCCATTAGGAAAGTCAGCTTTGGTGCGTTGGAAAGTCTGGGTGTCTGAAGGCATGTGTTCTGGTCCTGAGATATTAGCCAACAAAACAATGATAAAAATAAAAACAACTATATGCCCTAGCTGATTTGGCTCAGTGGATAGAGCATCAGCCTGTAGACCAAAGGGTCCCGATTCCGGTCAAGGGCACGTACCTCGGTTGCAGGCAGGCCCTGGTCGGGGTGTGTGAAGTAGGCAACCAATCGATGTGTTCCTCTCACTTCGATATTTCTCTCTGTCTTTCCCTCTCTCTTCCACTCTCTCTAAAATCAATGGAAAAACATCCTCGGGTGAGGATTAAAAACAAACAAACAAACAACTATGGAATATCACTACCATCTGTTGAGCACTTATGTATCAGGCATGGAACTAAGCACGTTAGGTATATTATTACATTTAATTCTTACTAACACTATGAGAAAAATCACTAGTGACCATCAGATGTAGAGGGAGATTGAATAATTTAATAAAGGTCACCCCTGTTTTAGGGGATTCCAAAGCCAGTTACTAAACACTATTCTAGTTTAATTAGTTGAGTGGCCCTGGAGCAAGTGACTGCCCCTCTCTGAACCTAAGGACTGTATCTGTAAAATTAGGAAGTTCAATGTTCTGTGTCCTCCAGCTCTGTAGTAGTTTCCTACTGATACCCTATAAAAGAACCATAAGTTTAATGGCTTGAACAACACAAATGCATTATAGCTGTGTGTTTTGGCACAGATCTCACTGGGCTTTACTTAAAGTGAAGGCAAGGCTGTTCTTCTGGAGCTTTGAGGGGAAAGTCCCTGGCCTTTTCTAGCTCCTGGAAGCCACCTGCACTCTTTGGCTATGATCCCTGCCTCCGTCACTCCAACCTCCTGTTTCCATCTCCTTCCTCCTTTGACTCCTGCTGCCTCTCACTTTTAAGGGCCATTATAATTACACTGGATCTACCTAGATTGTCCAGGACAATCCCCCCTGTCCATCCCCCCCCCATGATCCTTAATGTCATCACTGAAAAAAAGCCTTTGGCCCCGAATGGCAATATCCACAGGTTCTGAAGATTAGAACATGGACAGATTTGGGGAGCCATTATTTCACCTACCACAGCTCTGATTTTTTTTTTTAATTTAATACTAGAAATGTCATAAAATCCTGTGCCTGACAGTTGTGAGATGGTGTGGAGTTCTTTAACTGCCTCTGTATTCTGCCAATAATGTTGGACAAACCCTCCCCGTGGGGGTCACTTTCAGCACAGGATTGCAATCTTGTCTGCCTCTTATTCCTCTGATTGGACCCTTTTCTGACTCCCTTCCTGTGTTGAGTGGTCACTTGTGTGGGGCCAGTTTCACCAGCTTCCCTGCTTCCTAAGCGCTGGCATCTTTTCCTACCATTCAAGTACTGCCTCCCTCCAGCTAACATGCTTTTGTTTTTCTTTCATGCAGATCATTCACATAAATGCCACCGTGGCCCAAACTGCAGAGGCTAATGATTTCCTTAGCCAGATGCAGAGCCCTGCCACCATGAGTCTTCAGTTTACAACCAGAATTCACAAAAGTGCTTCATCCTCCTCTCCCGAAATAGCAAAATGAACTTCTGTTCCCAGTGATTTTATTTCAGCTCGTAAACTCCCTGTAAACTTCCTTGTAAAAGGCAGGAACTAGAGCATCGTTTGTTATGAGGAATATCCATCCAGTGTGAACCTAAAGGCAGAGCAGAGATCAGTCTCACACCTGAGACCACCCACATCTGTCCTGTTTCCAGTGAATCCAGGGGAGAGAAACTGCACCCAGTTGCCAAACTTTTGGCGATTCCTTTGTAACTGTCCCTGGAACTAACCAAAACTCACAAGTTTCACTCTCTGTATGTGGCTTGCCAATTGCTCCATGGGATTAATGTTAAGGGACTTTTCGCTCATATCCCACTTCCAAAAATATGTATCCTTTTCTTTCTCTTTCTGTATCTTTCACTCTCTTCTATCTTTCTAACATATTCTAAATAAACCTATTGGTTTCCTCTTAAGATGAACATTTTAAACATGTGAGGTTCAAGTGGGAGATTGAGAAATAAGTTAATATTTATAAAACATATGCCAGGCACACTGCTAAGCATTTTACACTGTTTATCATATAAAGTAATTTAGAAATAGCCAAAAATATTTATCAATGCAATCAGTATCCAAGTACCTTTTAAGTAAACTTTTTTGCTTGTTTGCTTTTATGTATTTTTTTAAAATCCGGCATGCCCCTTTTAAAGTTTATGTATTTGTTTACTATTTTACAAATGGCTCTTTACTGACCACAATTTAGGTGGTTGGAGGCTAAACAGCAATAATTAATTATAATAAACTTGAAGTAGTTTAGAAAACCATTTATTTTTATTCTCCATAATAAAAAGATTAAAATAAACTACTAAGAAATGCTGAGAAACAGAACTGTTCATAAAAAGAAGCAATTTGTTTTCCCACCTCCTGTCAGTAGCATCTGTCGGCCCCAGTGATGGCTTGCCTGTGAGTCTTAGAGACCATGTGGGGGGAACCTGTTAAACAACGGGGTTATGCACTAGCTATCTTGTCCATTAGCAGGTCTCTAGACCATCACCAGTGGCACAAGAGATGGAAGGAATCTTGCTTCACTCTAAAATCTGTCATTTTCTTGCCTTCTGCAGGGAGCGCTGGCACCCCAGTCATGTTTAACAAGAATGGAGATGCCCCGGGGCGGTATGACATCTTTCAGTACCAGACGACCAACACCACGAACCCGGGCTACCGTCTGATTGGACAGTGGACAGATGAACTTCAGCTCAACGTGAGTTCTGTTTTGTCTTCTTCCTTTGCTTGTGTGATACATGAACAGGCTTTTAATTTGCTCAAATAGGCAAATGGTTTTGTTTGCTTGTGCATAATGAGTGAATAGGCAACGTGTTAACAGGCATCAGCAGGGACTGGTAATAATACAACATTGAGAGTGATGATGTTGATGATGATAAAGATGATGATAAGTGTGTTGAGTTAATACTAGCACCAATGTGATTGATCTCATTTAATCTGAGGCTTGGATTGCTGAACAATCAAATTAGTAGATAATACTTCAATACTTCCACAAGATCCTTCTCTTGGTCAGACCTCCTTTCCTCCCTTCCTTCCTTCCTTCCTTCCTTCCTCCCTTCCTCCCTTCCTCCTTTCATTCTTCTCCTCATTTCTCCCTCCCTCTATCCTCCCTCCTTCCCTACCTTCCTTCTTTCCTTCCTATTTAGTGGTTTATTCCTTTTTCTTTTAATACATTTTAGTGAGTTGCTTTGTTTTCTGTTGAGATTTTCTGTGTAACTGGAGCTTTATCCGTTTCCATAACCTCTCCCTCTTTCGGTACAATGTGATCTTGAGCAAGCAGCCACTTCCTTGTGTAAGGTTATGTCCAAGTGCACCTGGCAGCAGCCATCAGGAGCTCATCTGACACTGTTAGGTTTACTTAACTTGCTGAGTAAAGGACAAGCTTTGGGGTCTTCAGGATGAAGGGGATGGAATGGGATTCACTGTAGGCTTTGTGCTGAGTTGAGTGATTAAAACAGGTTTAGGGAGGCTGGGGCCCATTTTGGTTTGGATTCTCTTAGGAAGTAGAAATCATTTCATGATTGTTATCTAGGAGATGGAAGGATGAAAGATAGGTGAGAGTTGTCATTAACAAAGAAACAGTAAGCACTTATGTGAACCGAAAAAGGGACGTCTTCGTTATTTTTGTGGTTGCAGGGTATCCTTGCTTCTGTCTAGTTTCAAACATGATGGCAGAACCGTCTTGTTCCACCACAGTCATGGAGTGGCCTTGTCTGATTAACTTTTACATTTTGCTGAGATTGTTTATGTTCTGTTTGAATTTGCCTACCCAGCTGTTAGCTGATAACTGTAGAGCCATTTTTCTTAATATTTTAAGTTGAACATTTAACAGTGTGCTTCTAATAATAGTTACAAGGTCTATTTGGAATTATTAATAGTTTTAAATAAATATACTGACTTTCCCAGGGAATGCAGAACACAGGCTGGGTATCTCCCTCCTGGCACACCTGGAGTTCAGCGCACCATGCATCCCTACATCTCCTCTCCTCCCAGGAGGGAATGAATTAGGCCGGCCCACAGCATGATGGCTGGGGTCCTGGAGCCTGGGGGTGGGGTGGGGTGGGGTGGGGCAGAAGTTAGAGAAGTAAGTACACTACAGGGTCTCTTCTGCTGAGATGCACTGGACTGGGTTATATTTCAACAGGTTCTTTAGCAGGTCCCTCCCTGTGGCATTGAACTTGGGGATGATGTTTACCAGGGGTGTTGTGGCTAGGTACATTGGATAGGCCTTCCCAGGTTCATAACTATACGTGGAAATCACAGTAAATAGAAACATACAATTTTCTTTTGTCCAGCAGAGCCCTGCATTATTCTGGGTTCTCTGGAGAAACAGAACTGATAGATAGATAGATAGATAGATAGATAGATAGATAGATAGATAGATAGGAATTGGCTTTTATGACGGCTGAGAATTCCTGAGATGTGCAGTCCACAAGCTAGAGACCCAAGTGAGCCAATGGTGTAAGTTCCAGTCCGAGTCCAAAGGCAGCAGAGGACTGATGTTCAAGCTCAAAAACAGGCAGGGAAAGAGGATTCTCTTACTCAGCCTTTGTGTTCTATCAGGTCTTCAATTTCCATTGAGTCCCTCCCACAACGGAAAAGCAATCTACTTTATTTAGTTTGCCAGTTAAAATGTTCTTCTCATCCAGGAACACCCTCACAGAAATACCCACAATCACGCTTAACCAAATACCTGGGCACCTCTGTGTCCTGTCAAGCTGAGGGATATAATGAACGGGCACAGGCCCTATCCCTTCTCATGTCCCTTCCAAAACTGAAAATGATGCTTTATCAGTGTACACCTCACTGTGTGCTATAGAAATTATTTCTAAGTGCAAGTCTTAAGAGTGGAATATGGAATTGATGTTTTAGGGACAATGGATTTGGGTTGTAGTTTCTAAGAATGGAGGTTTGTGTATAAGGAGTAAGGGGTTGGTGAAGTCACCACAGTCAATTACTTCATTTGCACCTCACCCTCCCTGGTTCTGCTTGTACCTGTCCAATTGTCCCTCTCCTGAGGTCCATCATCCAGGGGAGCATACACGAAGGTTGGGTCCAGAGGATTGTGATCTGGCATCCAAGAATGAATGGAGCTGGACAGTAAGTGCCAGCCATGGCTGGGATGAATGCTAAGAGCCAAAACCAAACTAGAAGCTAAAAGCATCCTGAACTCAAGGCACATTTTCCAAGCAAAAGAGGAAATAAAAGCAAAACAAACAAATAAATAACCAACCAAAGCCTAATAGGTAAGCCCAAGAGGTAGTAATCCAAAGCACAATCAGAGCAGCATAACCTGCTGACAGACCCATCGTGTTTTCTTAGTGGGTGCTGTCTGAGTGATCCCAACATGTGTCAGCCAGAACTAAAGGCAGAGCATCAAGGTCTGTGGTGAGAAGTGGAGTGCTCAGGGCTATTGTAAGATGCAGGAGACTAAATAACACATGAATCTTCCCTAGCACAACCCCTGCGCCAGTGGTAAGTCCCTGGCATGTGTAATTTGTCCATGTACACAAGAATCCCCAACCAACACTCACCAACTTCAGACATTACCTGGCATTTCTAAAGCAAACTATTTTTAAGAACCAACATCAACAGTGATTTTATTGCTTTTGTATTTTATCCTGCATAAGAAGCCATTCGACAAGTTCTTGTTTTGTGTTGTTTTTTGTTAAAAGTATCTCTCACGTGATAAGCATTATGAGAAGCAGTGGGTACACAGTGGAGAACAAAACAAATGTCCCTGATCTCATATTCAATGATCTAGGATGGAGTTAGGTGGTAAACTAGAAAACAGATTTGGATGTGGAAATTCCAAAAGGTAATAGGAGACATGGTGGGAGAGAGTATAATGGATGTGGAGAGGGACCTACTGGATGAGAAGCAGACAATGTGAGGAGTATGAGGCTTCCACCCAGCAGGTCAGAAGGCTGACATGGGGATAATGGCATGACTCAGGTGTTACATCCACGCCAACAGGAGCCAGACCAAGAGACGTCTTGAGAGTTTAAGAAATTTTTATTACATTTTCTCACAGTGAACTGAAACCAGTATATCGGTGTCAGAATCGAGTGGGTGTTTGTTCTCTTATATAGAGACTGGGTCAGGGTTGCACCAGCCAGCTGGGGTAGCTGCCTGAACAACAGGATGACCTTGGAAGATAACAAGATATCTGATGGGCGCACAGCTGGGTGAGGCAGAGGGGAACAAGCGCCTGGGTTGGTTGGGAGTGTACCTTAAATTCTGCAAGTGCAAGCCATTTGCTTGAAGCTAGGAGAAAAACGTTTGGAACAACATATTTATGAAAGCATGTCCAAACAGCAGAGTCCAGGGGTAGTACATGCTAACATAGAGACGAGCAAGAAGAATTAGAGCGATAGGTAAGAGCCAGAGCATGTGGTCCCTATAGGCCATCTATAATAATAAAAGCATAATATGCTAATTGGACCAGAAAGCCGAACGACCTTCCAGACAAAGCCGGGGGCTGCAAGGGCCGAGCCCCTTGCACGAATTTCGTGCATCGGGCCTCTAGTGATAAATATTTAAAAAATTTTCTGAGTGCACTTAAAAGACATTAGAAGTATTAAGCAAGGGAGTGATTGGATGAAATTTAGGGAAAATTTTACCTTCTCTGCTGAGAAGGGATAAGCGTGGGAGTAGAAAGCCCAAGTGGGAGTAGAAAGTCCAAGTAAGAGCCTATTGCAGTGGTTGAGCTAAAATAGGATAGCTAAGCGAAGGGGCTCTTAGACTTCAGCATGGGCCCAATCACCTGGAGGGCTCATAAACACACAGCTGGCCTCACCCCAGAGTGTCTGATTCAGAAGGTCTGGGCGTGGGAAGAGGCTGAAATATTTGCCTTGCTATAGAGCTTTGTGTCATGCTGATGGCACTTTGGTTGTGAGTGGGAAGGGTACAATAAAGTATCCCAATTTAGTGTTCTTAAATATGTGAGAGACAACATGAAATGGATATTAGTTTGTAACTCAGAAGAGTTTTGCGTTAGTTATTTTTTTAATGAAATTGTTAACCTATAAAGTCTTTAAATCCAATAGAGAACAACAAAGAACCCAAGGCCTTGAAAACCTCATAGAAAATGATACAATTTCATTCCAACTATTCTAAATGCCACCCCACTAAAAATATTGTGTTTAAGATGTCTGGAACATCGAGATGACCACCTAGGTTGGATTCTGCTTTTGCGTATGGAAGCTAGGTCTGGGATATATGCTTGAGTTGGCAGAGGGAACATGTTTTCTAATTTGTCATGCTGACAGTGGTATATTAGGAAAAGCAGATAGGACACCTGAATCCTCAGGTAAATCCAGTAGTTTATGCTCAGTGTTGTATGGAACCCAAAGGCATGAATGGCTGAGCCATGAACAGGGGGGCCATGTTTAGACCTGTGAGAGGCTGGGTTCCTTTAACTAGAGTAGCCACTGACATGACAGGCCTTGATAGGAGAGCACCCTGTTGATGTCTCTAGGGGGCATTTAGGATACTATTAAATTGAATTTGAATCCAAAAGAAAAGACAAAAGAGAAGGTAAATACAGGACCCAGAGGACTCTACACACACTCATTGGAGAGCCAAGGCCACTGCCCAGGTAGCTTATTCTGTGGTTGGTATCCTACCCAACATCCCTGGCCCATGGTGTTCCTTTTTCTCGAATTATTATGATTTAGTTAAAAGTTCTATGAGAGT